CATGGCACATTTGTGGAAAGGTGGCCAGACAGGGGGAAGGGACTCCTGTCTCTTTTGAATCCCCACCGCCATCGTTCTGGGACTGGCATCTTCTTTTTTTTTTTATAAGATTTTATTTATTTATTTATTTGAGAGAGAGAATGAGAGAGAGAGAGAGCATGAGAGGGGGGAGGGTCAGAGGGAGAAATAGACTCCCTGCTGAGCAGGGAGCCTGACGTGGGACTCGATCCTGGGACTCCAGGATCATGACCTGAGCCGAAGGCAGTCGCTTAACCAACTGAGCCACCCAGGCGCCCCTGGGACTGGTATTTTCAATAACTAATTGTTAAGCTAGTCAGCGAATGTCTCTTTGGCTCTGTCTTCACATCTGTAAAATGAAGGAGGTGCCTTAACTCACAGGGACATTTTAAGGACCAAGCAGGGTAGTGGGCATGGGATTCCTTGGAGAGGTCCAATGTGAGGGTACCCTTGGTGGCTGTAAAATAATTTACAAGAGGACCCATTTAAATTGGACTTTCAAAAGTGATTGTCTCCCTCTCTCACAACCTAGCCCCATCATTTTTTAGGTGCCAGTTCATACGATAAGCATTTATTGGGCACCCACTAAGTGCCTGGCACTGTGCCAGGTGCTAGGGATACTGTGGCAGCCCCTTCAATCAGTTCCTTATACAGAGCCAGAGTGAGCCTGCTAAATGAAAGTCAGATCCTCTCCCTCTTCCGATCAAAACCCTGCCATAGCTCCCATTTACTTGGGGTGAAACCCAACCTCCTGCATTGACCCCAAGGCCCAAAGGACCTGCCCCCTGAACCTCTCCGATGTCAGCTCCTACTGCTCTGCTGTCACCTGCTCAGCTGCACCAAATGCTCCTCACCACAGGGCCTTTGCACCTGCTGCCCCGTCTCCCTGCAGTGTTCTCCCCGCAGAGATTGGCACAGGTGGACCCCTCTCTTCCTTAAGGGCATGACTCCAATGTCAATGGAATCTTGTCCAGACACCCTGTCATTCCTACTCCTCTTCTAGCTGTAGCATTGTCCTTACTGTCTAAATACTATCTATTTTCCTTATTTACATAGTCTGTTGTCTGTCTCTTCACTAGAATATAAGCTCCCTGAGGGCAGAGGTTCTTGTCAGTTTTCACATTGAATCTGCGGTGCCTTGAGTGGACCCTGGCACATAGTAGGAGATGCTTGCTACGTGAACGAATGGTGAACAGACGGAGTCTCCGCTCTCAGGAAGCCTGCATTCCAGAGCAGAGGGTCTGCAGGCAGTTTGGAAGGAAGAGGGAGTGGGGGGAGCTACAGAACCTGGGTGTCACAAGTCTCCGGGGCCCCTCCTCTCCAAGGCTTCACTGCGGGATTGCACTGTCACCAGTCTGGAGCACACGTTTTATAACAGGAGTTAACTGCTTACTAATTAGCTGCTGGAACCATTAATTGGCCATTTGTTAGAGCCTGAATTAATAAACTGGTCTTTCAGTGGGGTCATAACTCTCCTCGGCCTTCACCCCCTCCCACCCCAGCCAGCCTTCACCTCCCCCAACCAGAAAGTGTCTTGCCCTGAGATTGAATCAATTCCTGCCACTGTACGATTTTCAGAGACAATTTCCCTAGCAAGCCACGACACCATTCCCACAGAATTCTTCTAGCTCTCTCTCCCTCTCTTCTCTTCTCCCAGGCTCTGAGTTCCTTTGGGCAGGAGATGGGGGAGCTTTCTTATAAGGAGCTCTCACAACAAAAGCCCTGAGCTGCCCTGCCTGGCCAAGATCTGGCATTCCTGGTTCCCTGGCGTGGCACACACCCCCTCAACCAGCAGCTAGTTCCTGAAACCTCCTGGAGCCCAAGGGCTGGGTTTTCTCTGGGGCAAAAGAATCTTAGTATCCTGGATGGAAGCCAGGAGTTGGCAGTCAGGTGCTGACCACCGAACCTCCAGGCAGCCCAACCTCAGTCGGCCTCAGGTCCAGGGGTCTAGAGCTCATGTGCTGTCCACCCACCGCCAACAGCCCATTTTGGGGCCCTGTGAATTGTTCTGTGTGTATGAAAAGTCTAGGAAACACTTCTTGTGAAAACATTTTAGACACCTAGGTCCTTACGTTTCTTCAGTATAGAACAGTGGGAAAGAACAAGGTCAAGGAGCCAAGCTACCTAGGTCAAAGCCATTTAGCAGGTATGTGAGTCACTAAATCGTTCTATGTTATTCTATGAGAGTAACAGTCCTATCTCCCATAGTTGTTATGAGGATTAAATAGTTATCCACATGAAGGGCTTAGAACAGTACCTGGCCTGGGGTATCAGCTGTTATTATTACTTACATCTAACAACCACTCTGTAGATAGGGATCCTACTCACATTACAGTTGGGGAAACTGAGGCCTAGAGAGGTTATGACTGGAACGTAGGACTGATGGCTCCCAAGTCTAGTGCTTTTTTCCTTCTCCCTGGTTGCCTCCCCTTGTCAGACACTGGGCTGTGTCAGAGGCAGCAGGCCAGGCACACTTGGGGGAGGAGACGGCTGAATTTACATGCAACACAAACAGGCTGTCAAGGTTCTTACACTGCATATAATTAGCTGCAGAATATTCACAAGTGAATTCGCTACAGCAAATGTTCAATCCCAGCCCGGCTCCCCCCTCCTCCTGGTCTCTCCCTGACCATGAGTCTTCTCTCTCCTTCAGGCCAGTGTATGTGCTCAAGAGTACATCAGCTGAGTCAGTGGGGTTCCGTCCCTCAGTAAAACACCCCAAAGCCAAAGAGGAGCAATTAACTGCTGTTTGGGGGGGCTGGACCGGCTGACTGGAAAATAGGAAGGTAGTCGCCTCTGGCTTGGACACATGGTCATTCAGTTCAGAATGCGCAAAGCCAAGAAGAGCAGGAATCATTGTGATCACTCCCTGAGAGCTTCCTGGAGGTGGTGAGGGTTTCTAGGAATTTTTGAACAGTAGGAAGATGACAATAAAAGAAAATAGTCATCACCACACCCTCAAGTGGTGCCACGTCTTTTTTGGAATGGGTGGGGGAGGTAGGTGGGAAGAGGCCTGATAGCTCTGTAGCCCGGTGGAACAGAAAATGGATTTTTCTCTTGGGGGTATCCTAGGTCTGTGGTATCTGGCCTATGAGGGGCATCACTCATCCATTCATTTAACAAATCTGCAGCTAGCATCTGTTGGGTGCCCAGCACTAAATCAGATCGCCTTATTCAGCCTTGGATCCACAGGAAAGGAAGGAGAGAGAAAGGGGGGAGGGGAAGGAAGAAGGAGCAATCAATTGGAGGTGGGCTGGAGAATAAGATTCTTTAGATGTTTTGGGACTTCCCAGAATGGACAGAAAGGGAACCGAGAAGGTGTCAGTGGATGGCACATCCCCCTACCGCGGCCTGGCATTTCTCCCAACACCTCCCACTGCTGCCCGGCACGTTCTCCTGTGAGAAGTCAGTCCCTCGAGGGTCAGGGGAGGAGAGACCTAGCAGGAAATGGGCCTAGGATGGGGTGGGGTTTATTATTTTTTAAATTTATGTTTTAATTTTACATATTGAAAAATGAAACCTTTTTTGGTGTAAGTTCTTTGAGTTTTGGCAAACGCATAGAGTCGCGGAACCACCATCACAGCCAAGATACTGAACAGTTCCGGGGAGAGGGGGAAGGAGGGTTAATAATCTCCCCGCTTGTTAGCTGCTGCGGTCGTCTGCGATCCCACGGGCCGCCCTAATACAGTCTTGCGCACCAGCCGAGATAAATAACGGCGACAGGTGGAGCAGGTGAGATTAGCAGGACGCGGGTGGGGGCCGCGATCGGAGGCGCAGGGGAGGCCGCCCACCTGGCTTCCCAGCCTACGGCTCCTCCCCGCTGGCGTTTGGGAGGAACGCTCTCCCCACCCCTGCTCCGGGAGCCTGGGTGAGGTAGCGGAGTTCCGGAGTGCCGGACCCCCGCAGCTGGAGCGGGCCGCGGGGCTTGGCTACCGGAAGAGAGTGCGCCCCTGGGGCGCTTGGGGGCGCCTGAGGTCCTAAGGAGAGGCAGGATGGGGGGAGAGACAGGGGCGAGCCGGGGAGAATGTGGGTGGCCTAGGGGAGCTCCGGCAGCGGGGTCCTGCGGACAAACCTGTTGGCAACCTGTGGGCCGAGGCAAGGGCAAGAGCTCCAAGCGCGCGCTCTCCGCCCCCGGCCCCGCCAGCTGCGGTGCCGGTGGCCCCCACGCCCTACGCAGGGAGAGGCCGCGGCTGCCTGGAAAGGGGCGGGGGCTCGGCCGGGGGCGGAGGGACTCCGGGGCCGCGCAGACAGCCCTGCAGACAGCTGGCGGCCGGCTCGCGCGCCTGCAGGACCCCAAAAGAGGCGGGCCCGTGGCCTTTCCCTCCGAACCCCGCTTTAGTTCCGACCACCAAAAGTGCAAAACATATACTAAGTGTGCACTGCCCCGCAGGCTTCGGTCCCCGGGGCGAACGGCCGTGCTTGCCCCGCGAGCATACTGGAATCGGTGCACCCGGCTCGGCAGCCAGTCTGGGTGTGCAAGGGCGGGCGAAGAGCGCGCGTGCGAGCGCGCGGCTGCAGAGCCCGCGCCGAAACCCACGTCCCTCCGCCACTGTCCTCGGGATAGATGGATCCATTTCTGCTTTCTGACATTTTCCTGCCGGGGGGGTGGGGGGGGGCGGAGAGAGGAGAGAACGGGGAGGGGCAGAGAGAGAGAGAAAAACAGAGAGAGAGAGAGAGAGAAGAAAGCAGGCAGTCTGCTTCCCCCAGCCCTGTTTTGTTTTCTCTAATTGGTCCTGGGGGAGGCGAGGAAATTGGACAGAGGCTGGGCCGGGCGAGCTGGGCTGCCTTTAATTGGCTCCTTTTTTTAACTGGAGGGGAATCAAACAGGAGAGCGAGCGACAAAGGGTGGGAGAGCGAGAGACCGAACGAGGAGACGCGAGGAGGAGGGAGGAGGAAGGGAGGGAGGGAGGCGGGGGGAGCGCGGAATGAAAAGCTCCGAGGGGGGAAAAAGCAGCACAGCGAAGCCCAAGTTGCCGAGCGAACGGAGCGCTCACGCGGCCCCGAGCCCAGCGGCCGCTGCGCCCGGGAGCCCGGCCCGGCCCCGCCCGCTCGGGGCCCCCGCCGGCCGAGGCCGCCGGGCGGGGGCGGGGACGACCAACTTGGGGCGCGGCGCAGCCCCGCTCTCCCGAGAGCATCGAGCGCGGGAGCGCCACGGCGGCGGCCAGACGGCGGGAGCGAAGCGCGGCGAGCGGAGGCGGCGAGCGGCGCCCGCGCCGCAGCCCCGGCCTCGCCGAGAGCGCGAATATTTTTCAAACGACTCAAACTTTCCTCCTTTCCCCGCTTTCTGGGGTCTCTCTTGGCTGGAATTGCTCTCCTGATTCCCGCGGGGGCGCCGGGGCGCGATTCCTCCCCGGGGTTCCTCGGTGGCTCGGTTAACTTCGCGGACCTGGGGACCCGTGGCTCTCGCCCCGCGGCCGAACCCAGCCAGCGCTGCTCCCCCGCTCAGGAGGGCCGGGGGCCGGGGCTCCTTCGCCTCCGGGAGGGCGCCCAACCCGGCCCGCTTGGGTCGGGCTACTGAGACCCCAGCGCCCGCCGCAGGACTGGTGACAGCGGATTAACCCCGAGCGAAGTCCGGGCCTTCCCGTCCCCGCTCCGCGGAGAGGCGTCCCCTGGGCGGGGAAACGACAAGTTTGTCAGTCGTCGGTGGCCTGTTGGATCGAAGCGCCCCCGCCGCCGCAGAGGGGTCCCTGGCGCCCAGCACACGGAGCAGACAGCCCTGGGGACCCCGGGCGCATCGGCGGCCGGGCTCCTCGGGCCGGGGCGCTGGCTGCTGCGCCGGGCGCGCCAAGGCACCCGGGGCCGGGCCAGCGCCCCCTGCGTCCCCACGCGGGCAGCGGCCCCGCCAGAGGAGAAACCCGGGTCGCCGCCGCCGCCACCGCCGCCTCCTCAGTCTCCTGGTCTCCGTCGCCGCCGCCGCCCCCTCCGTCGCCTCTCGGGGGACGGGGGGACGCAGGGGGCATCGCGGGGCCCCGGCGGATGAGCCCCCTGCCACCTCTCGGGCTGCGCCGCCTCGCGGGGATGAAGCACCGGCCGTGAAGATGGAGGTGACCTGCCTTCTACTTTTGGCCCTGATCCCCTTCCACTGCCGGGGACAAGGAGTCTACGGTAAGAGCCCGCGTCCCGCTCCATGCTGGCTTAGCACCGCGCGGAAACTTTGCAAGAGGCGCAAAGTGCGCGCTGCCGGGGTTTGGTGGGGACCCCGGCTCGGACTCTGGAGTGGATGCCCGGGTCCCCGCCCTTCTCAGGGCGCGAGGAGATCGAGCTAGCTGTTTCGGAGCACGGAGACGGGTCGTAGGGTCTAGCGTGAAGCCGGGGATGCCAGGGGGAGGGACCCACTTCCTCAAACCTTGCCAGGGGCAGGAGTGACTCGGAACCCTTGAGAACACCCAGTCGGCTCGGGAGATCCTGACAGACCCCAAACCTGGGCCTGGGGCAGCGACTTGCACGGAAACCTGGTCCTACCCTGGCTCGGCGGGAGTAGAAGCCGAGCGATGCACGATCCGGAGTTGCGCGTGGCTGGCGGGTGAGCTGGCTGCCGGCACCACGGCCGGGCGGCGGGCTCGCCTTCCCGGCTCTCGCTGCGGCTTCGCTTCTTTTTACTCGCTTCTTGACGGCCAGAGCGAATGCCAGCATCCCCCGTATTGGGTGCCTGAAACCCCGGCATCCGTTTTCGAACCTCGCCTGAGCCAGTTCCTCCTGTCCCCGCTTCTCAGCTACAAAATCCCAGCCCCACCTTCCTTCTCCCTGAGCGCACACACGGACACATTCAGCCACCGTCCCCAGAAAACGCGAACACTGCACGCACCCATAGGGCTACGTGTTCAAACTCTGCCTCCTGCCACGCAGCTCTGCTCCTGCGTCCCTACGCCGTGTTCTCCTTCGCTCAGGGGACTCTGGCTGGGTGTCCCTTCTCCAGACTCTCCAGAGGGTGTTCCCCGGGGAAAGGTCCCGAGAGCAGGCATCATCTGTGCACAATCGTCCAGAGCTCCCCCTTCTCAGGGACCCTCCCTCTGAGTTCTAGCAGGCTTCTGTACCCTGACCTTAGAGCGCGAAAAAGTCCGTCTCGGGGCCCAGTGGTCCTTACTTTGCCTTCTCCTGACTGCAGGGTGGTCTGTGTGGGTCACTTTGTAATCGTGTGTAGCTGGGATGGGGAGAGGTCCCTGTCCCTCTTCCCCTGGGCCCAGGGTCTGATTGTTCATCTTTAGATCAGAGGAGAGTTTGACTCATTCTGTGGGTGCGGAGGCAGAGGTATTGTCCCCCCAGCTGCCCCCCCACCATGGCGCTGGGCATACACCAGCCAGCCTCAAGTGCAGATGCTAAATGCTCCCTTCTGGGGGCGGCTGGCCTTGCTGTGCCTCCCAAGAGGCAGGGGTGTCCTGAGGGGTGTCTGGGAGGTGACATGCTCCCCGCCCTACACAGTTAGCTGGCTTTGGCTTAATTCCCTGGGGAGGCGGGCCCAGGCATCTGGCCAAACTCTACTTCTTAATTAGTTTGTGTGTCTCTTACTGCCTGGCCCTTTACAGAGGCCAGAAGAGGGAAGGGGGAGGAGGAGCGCAGCGGAGACTGAGGAGGGAGGGGGCTTGTAGGGAGGAGGCCACTGACCTGGCCCTAGAGGCCTCCCTAGGGCAGAGGAAGATACCGGGGGTTTAGGGGGCGGGAGTCCTCTTTCCTCTTTCCCCCAAGGTTTCCTAGTAGCCTCACTGCCTCAAGAGCTGGCCTAAGGAGGGATGTCACTGAGGTCTTTGCCCCCTGCTCCCCACACCTCAGGGGCTCTGAGAGTGACAGAGACCTCGCACTATTCCCTGCTGTCTGTCCTCTACCCTGCTCCTCCCTCCAAATGTCCTTGGGAGATCTGGCCAACCTGTTTCCTGGCCATCCCTCTTCTCTATCCCCTCCAGCGTTTCCAGCCTTCTCCAGGGCTACACAGGGCCCTTGTTGAGGAAGGTCCTCTGAGCCTAGCCTGGAAGCCCCAGCAATGAGGGCAGTGGGGGTGGGGTGGGGGAGATAGGGGTGGTGTCTGCGGGCTCTGATTTCAGAGGACTTGGGGCCAGGATTTAGCCATTGGCTTATCTGCCCCCTATTTTCTGTAGTTTCTCCTCCCTCGTGTGCCTGGGTCTCCCTTTTCGTTGCTCTCCATTTGGAGCAAATCAAGGTGAGCTGGGTGTACTGGGGCCAGCCCCGGGCCCTGGGGTGACAGTGCCTTTGGGGTATTGGCTCCAAAGAAGCCTGGGGCCTCAGAGGAATTGCAGAGTGGAGTGTCTTCGTTGAGGTTGATGGAGAGAAGTGACAATCTAGTAGGAGAAGGAGGACGGCAAGAGGCTGCTGAGTTCTTTGTGATGCTAGAAGCTTTGGCCAGAGACAGCAGAAGGGGGAACAATTGTAGGACTGTAGTCCTTCGGCCCTCCCAGTTTCCCTCTCTGTCCAAAGCAGATAAAGCAGCTCGAGAAAGAGTAGAGTGTAGGGGTGAGGGATGGTCACTTGTGTCCATCATTGTATCCTGGCATCCAACGTGGTACCGAGCACACAGCAGAAGCTGAGCAAACATTTGTTGTAGGAATGAAGGGCCATGGTTGGGGGGGGGGGGAGGTTGAGGAAATGTTTTTTGAAATTCTTTTCCTCCAATAAGTCAGTCTAGGATGTTTTCCAGCAAGGTAGTGGGGCATACTCTGAGGGTCTCTGTTTAGGGAGAGTCACAGAGCCCTAGGCTGGCAGCCTAGGGGACCTCAGGGAGAACAGAGAAGAGGCTTAAAGCCCAGGCACAAAAGAAAACAGTGTGTCCTGGGGAGGGAACTCCAGCCCCTTCCCCTCTATCCCAGGCCTGTGTGGCTGAAGGAGGGGCAGATTAACATGGAAGCTAAATTGAGGAGAGGGAGGAAGAACAGGAGGGCATGGAGGGCAAAGCCGGCAGGATCTAGCCTGGGCTGTGGGTCTCTGTTGAGGCTGGTGGGAGGCAAGTACTCAGAACCCTATACTCCGCTTCCCTCTGAGGGTCCTCTTGCCGGCACTGAGCTCTGCTGTCTGCAGTAGGGCTGGGAGGTGCGCGCTCAGTCTGGCCAGGTGGCCTCCCTTCTTCTTTGGGGCACAGATGCTATAGCAGCCGAGTACTGGACCAGATGGTCCATTTGGAGCTAATCCCCTCCTCCCTCCCTGCTTCCCAATCTCCTGGCCCAGTTTGTTGTGCTCCGTGGTGGATCCTGTAATTTGTTTTCTGGCTGGCAAGGGAGGTGGGCTGGCCCCAGAGTGATGGAGGAAGAGTTTCCTGCATGTGGAGAGCATCAGAAAGCACCCCCTCCTCCATCCCGGCTTCCTTTCCTCCCCTAGCTGCTGGACTTCCAGCCAGGGCAGGTCGGTGGGATTCCTCTCCCTTACAAAAACACACAAACCCTTGGATTATTTAATATGCAGGAGTAGGAATTGACATTATCCTTAAGACAGGTTGTTTGCAACTTACTGGTGGAAGTCAAAATATTTCACCAAAGGTGTCATCAGAAACTACTATCCTATGCTAATTTTTGTGGGAACATGAAGACAGATGTTGAATAATTTGACAAGAGCAACATAGCTTACAGAATTATCACCAAGTCAGGTTTTTTTCCCCTCCACTGAGGGGTGCAGAGAAGGAATTTCAGGAAGTGTGTCTCCCAGTACCATCTTCTGGGTGTTGATCTGGGTGTGGGCACTCTGGGGAATTTTCACTAGAGTTTCTATCATGTGCCTTGAGACTGGCTGTCCGTATCTGACTCTCCCCCTGGAGAAGGCATGGCATCAGAAAATTCTGGTCCCCTAGGGCTAACAGAAGGCTTGGGGTTTTCTAAATGTCCTCAAGAAGGTTCAAACCTCTGTTCCTTCTTCCTCCCCAGTTACAGAAACAGCATGAGGGAGAGACGGGGCCTTGTTCCACCAAAGCCGGCTGGTTTGTTTGCCTTGCCAGCACTGTCTCCTTGCCCCGCCCCCCACATTTCCCCGCTGAAGTTGATGTTGGCCGGTGAGCCAGCCAAGGGCTCCCCAGGCCCAGCAGCAGGCTGGAGAGCCCCACTTTGGGTCAAGATCGGCATGATGTCCCATCCTACACTGCAGGCTGGGAATCTGTGTTTCCTGACTGGCTGGGGGCCCTGGTGAGGGGGTGGTTAGAGAGAATGTTATTAGCCAGGAAAGCACCCTTGAGGGGGTGTGCTGGGGCCATGCCAAGGGCCCACTTGTAATTGGCCAGGCTTGGCTGTGAGTTGCCGGGGCTGGGTGGCAAAGCCTCATTTAGAGCCTGGTATTAGCTCTGCTTTGCTAGAACAGGGAAGAACAGGCTGGGTGGGTGGGGGTGGGGGTTGCTCCGGAGGGAGAATAGAGGGAGCTAATCACGGCCGCCAAGGCCCGGCAAATGAATGATGCAGGAAATCAATATCTGGGGGCGGGAGTGGAAATCTGGGCAGTGGGAGCAACCCAGCTTCTCCAGCCGCCCAGGAGGCATGGGAGGAGCGGGACAGGCCGAAGTATGGAGGACCCCTCTGGGCCACCTCCTCCCACCCCCCCACGACTACTCTGCATCTCAGCCCCCCCACCCTCGCCTATCTGCCACCTGCCTTCCATCTCCATGTTGGGTTAGGAGATGCCCCTGCAACACAGCGGGACTGGGAGAGCCTTGCCCTGCCCCCTACCTGCCTCTGGACACCTGAGCCTGACTTGGCCCCAGGTGCAGGGAGTGTGTGTAGCAGCCTGGGGACGCGGCCCCCTGCTGTTGGCACTGCCACTCCAGATGTGGCCAGCAGGGGGAGGGCTTGGCCACCACATTGCCTTTCCTGGGCTTCTCTGGGCCTCAGGCCTCCCGGTCGGCTGAGAGTTAGTCCAATTCCTCAGCCTGGGGTCCATTGGGGCTCCCTAGGGCCGGCTGAAGCTCTGGGCCCCCTCCACCTCCTACGTACTCACCCCAGTGTCCCACGGCACTTGCCTGTGGCCAAAGCCACGCGTCCTGCCCCTAGTGCCACAGGAGAGCTCTGTGGTGGGGCTCAGCTCTGTGGGATCCTGCCCAGGTGGGGCTGTATACAGAGCAGGGACTGTTGCACTTGCAGAGCTGCCTCTTTGTGAACCTGGGGTGTGGCCCCTGTTCTTCGTCT